TAACATTAAAATGTACCAAAAGTAGCGTCTATTTTGATTTAACTGCAAATGTTTGCAAAAGTTAATCATGTGGTCAATCTAAAAGGAAAAAAAAAAAAAACAGATTACAAGTATCCTTATCAACGAAAAAGATTTCCATTCCCTTATTTTTGTTCTTGATGAAGGTAGCTGGCCAAGTTCCATGTTGGTTTCACGAATGACGAATTTACAATAATGTACCACACGTTTATGTCTCTCGTCGGGTTAGTTTTTTTGAGCCGGGGAAGAGACTTTTACACAACATAACATAAAGTATGGGCTTTCAGAAAATTTTAGTTTCGACTTCAAATTCAACGTACCAGTGGGCTTTTGATGGTATTGAAATTAGCTAAAATTAGCCATTTCGCCCACGAGCTTCAATGAAGGTACTTTTATCGGCCTAAAATATTATTAAACTTGGAGCTTTTACTAATCAAAGGGAGTAATGTTTTAGAAACAGCAAGACATGCACTATGAGCTACCCAAAGTATATCGGTGGATATCATAGCGTTGATCTGTACGAGCGAAAAGTAAATGCACAATTTTCGGCCATTTTCGGCGGCGTCAGGCAGCTAAAATGGCGATTTTCAAACTTTCCTCGATTACGAAAAAACTAAAGCGCTTCAGGACCTTTGAATGGTATTTTCGTAAACAACTCACTACAGTGGGTATTTGGGCAAAATATGAAGAAATCGAAAATTTCGCAACTGTCATCTCGTTCTCGGTATTTATAGGAACTGGCTCTTAATTAACAAACAGGTTTGTTTGCCGGTTTTACTTCGTCCCTCCCCAATTAACTAACCATGGGTCTTCGAGGATACACGCATAATGACCATTGCATCGTTTCAACGTTTCAAGCAAATTGATAAGATGAGAAAGAGCTGAAGTTTGCCGCGCAATCGGTGTTCACCTCACAAACGTAACTGGATGGGAAAGGACAATATATTTTGGAAAACGGAAAGTTCATAAGATCTTCCCCTGTGCGTTAAATGGATTAATTAATTTATCTATTGTATTTTAGTTAAATCATTATTTTATTATTTAATTAATTATTTCAATTTACCTTTACGACAGTTCGTTCCTGTGAATCCAGGGCGACAGATACAACGATATCCTTTACTGGTGAATCCAGCTTGACAGGTTCCATTGTTCAAACATGGGTTGCTGCTACAGAGATTCTGTTAGGAGAAAAAGTCGACATATCTTCTATTAGACTGATTTTCGAACTGCGCGAGAGGGTTCTGGTGTCTGAAGCAGGTTGCAAAAAGTTTCAAATATGCAATGAACGTCTACAGCACACAGCAAATAACAAATTGGAAGGAGTTAAAGGAAGTAAGGTAACCTTAGAATACTGGGATTTTAACTGTCAAACTTTTATTTTACAAACTTGCATTGTGGGCTTTCTTTCAATGACTGTAATTAATTGGGAGTCTTGTATGAAATTACCTCGATAGCAAGATAGGTAAGAGCCGGTTTATTTACAAGAGAATTTGCAAACTGGTTTTCATCTGTAGCGTTGTTTAACTCGCATTTGTGTTTTCCTTCCTCCAATGCTCCTAAATTGATGGACACACAATTGGGCTCCATATAGCACATCAAGCGACAGCTCCCTTCACTGGGCACCTCCTCACTCTTAATCACGTGGTTCTTCATTGCCTTGTTTGCAACTGGTTCTTTGAATATGATGTTGCGACATTCATCGTCTAAAAAGGAATTAAAGAAATTAAAAATTAAGTGTTAAACATTAATTGGAAACAAAACAGGATGCTCTTTCTGAGTACAATATTTTCTGAGGAAAGACTGCGTATCTAAATTTCCGTTGAGCATTTTATTGTCGTATTTTTTCTTTTATTAAACTTTTTCCTTTAATTCTCCATATATATTGCTTACATATACTGCATGAGTTACTTTCTAAATTGTTTTTATGCCTATATTCATATACAATCTTGTTCTTCGTTTGAATTATTTGAATTGTTGACCACTCCAATCTAATTCAATTGACATAACATCAAGGGTGGTAATCGATTTTTGACTGTTGTCATCATTTAAGATTCTGGAAGAGGCGACAAGCCAGAAAGTTTCACTAGAGCATATTTATGTTTTGCCTAGGAAATCAATTCGACAGGAAAAGCCCAGTAAACGCTGCGCTTTTATGCAGACAAATTCAGGCTCCGTAAAACCATCTATACTCCGAAAATCCAACTAAGAGAAAAAAAACAAACTAGGAGAGTATGCTTACCAAAGCAACCACAACATATCGAGGAAATGATTCCAAGTGAAATACAAATGATGTAAAGGTTGATTGCAAATTTATGCTTCAACTGAATCTCCAGTGAAGAAGCCATCATCTTCTGGATGATAAATTGAGAGTCTCAGGGAGTTTCAGCAAGTTTCTGCCTTTAATTTGACAGCAGATGTTCTTGTGTTTAAACTGAGTAATGTCATCAGCCTAATGGGTGGTTCTCATATATTGACAGCGTTGAATGAAGTGGTTGGTTGTTAAGATGCTGTAGCGGGTGGCAATGAAAATTAGCTAAGTGTCAACTTAAAGAACGGGAATTTAGAAAGTTGAAATTGAAAAAGGTCTAAGCACTTACTTCTTTTTAAAAATATAACCAATTATTTTGGCTGGCTGATTACTGCATACAGGGCCGTAGCCAGAAAAAAAAAATTATGACTGAGGCCATGTCTATGGTTTACTCTTCCTAGGTATTAAGGGTGCTTATTAAGACCGTAGACAAAAAACGGCACTGGCACAACAGCCGAAAAATAAATTATGCTATAATTATTCAAACCATGGCAATTAACAAGTGTGAAACAGCGACTGTGTCTTCACGCTCCTCAATTCATCAAGAACTTCTTGAATACTCTTGAAGAGA